TAAATAAGTCTGTTGAATAAGTAAAATTTTGTTTCTACTTGACTAAATTTTATTTTAAAATTAAAGTGATGATCTAGTTTAATGAGAGCCAATATCACATAGACCCCCACTTATACCTCATTGACCCCCAATTATTTTTTTGCGGACGTAGACCCCTGGGTGTCTATATGGGGACCACTTAGGGAATCACTGGTTTAAGACATACGAAAGAAAAACAGAAACAAATTCACAAGAATTCGAAACAATCTAGTACTTTTAAAGAAGGTACTTTTAATAATTCCCTGCACATCTAGGAATACAATTAAGAAAAAGAACATGATAGATTTAACGAATCTTTAGTTTCATAATGATTTTATGCTGTCACATTTATCTTATTTAACACTTATAAATTAGATTTTCCTTCGGTAGTCCTTAAGTTATATTCCTGATGTGTCATATGTTGACAAAATCACTAATCTGTACACCATGCTTCACCCAGTTCCAGTGTCCCCATGTGCAGTAAAATATACTAAAGTACTATTTTAACGAAATTTGCCTACTGTTAGGGATTTCAATATAGGCACAAGTGAAAGAAGATACATATATAATGAAATCCCAAACGATAGAAATTGAAAAGAAACAAGCGCTTCATTGTCCTTGGGAACATTGACCTAGTCAAAGTAAGGACCCTATTTGGGCAGAAATCAAATCAGAGAAGTGTAAGAATGTGCTGTATTAGGTTTGTTAGTTCATCTATTTCTCTTCATTCTCAGAGACATGCGGAAAGTATTTACTATTCTAGAACCAATGTTTTGGAACTGTCCATTTCCCCTTTTGTTTTCTCTCTGTTGGAATATCTACATTTCAGAATATCTGCAACTGAAGGTTGCATTACATTTACTTTCACGAAGAAACACCTTTTCAAATTCCTATTCAGTGGGAGGAGAGAGAATGAGCTTTTAATATTAATTACTCAGAGCATCAAGAGTTATTTTTGAGATGTATCTAGTAATTTTGAGCCGCAGTCAAGCGACGAGGACTACATCTAAGCCAGGACCTCTCTTTTCTGTATTCCATACCACTCCAGCACGAGGAGTTCGGGCCGTGACAGACTTAATGCATGCTTTACACGGTGGGTCTGCAGGATTTCAAAAACAGATTGCATCTCATCGTTGCTTATATAATAGTGATCATATATTTATTTTTAAGTAACATAAAAGTTGAATTGAACCCATTTTGTATTATAGTTTGGTGATAAATCAACCATATACATTTTAAATCTCAACAATATTTATTCAGTTAAATATATCAGTATATCAATATCATAATACACGCATTTAAAAAAAGCAAAATCCTACCAATCAGAAACTCAGACCCTAACCATTAGTAATATATATAATCACTTGACTTAACTTGTAGCCTTGATTTACAGCCAAATTAGCATTGGTCATTCTATAGGGGCACATTCTGTGTAAGAATATAATCATAAATTTTCAAAAGGCCTTAAATAGGGCCCCAATGAATTTTGATATAGGGCCCACTCAGGATTAGCTACGCTAGTGCAAATTAGGTAAAGTTTAAGCAGCTGACACATGAAAATTCACGAGTTTTAATCTAACTCGTTAAATCTAAATGCCAATATTCAAAGTTCAATATATACATTCGCAAAATCTCACTTTACTAACACAATCTCAACGTAATGTCCTATTCCACCTCTGATCACTTTAAATAGTAATCCGAATGTACATACCGTATTTATTTGAATATAAGCCACCATCGATTCTAAGTCGCTTCCCAAATTTTCAATGTATTTATGTGAAAAAATAAAATTAAAGTTGAAAATGGTTTATCGATATCCAATTAATAAAATTTCTGGCTGGGTGGCGTGGTTGGTTTGTCGCACCTAAGGTTGTGGGTTCGACCCCGGCAGGAAATTGACGGTGGTCAAGACGCATGATTATACGACGTGTAAAATATCCTAGTGTATCTGTTTAACTTGGGTGCTCTCGGCAAAATTAAACCCTAGTACAGTTTCGCATCGTCAAAGCTCAGGTGACTGGGGTGCGGTGATTGGTACCCACCTAAATGTCGCCCCACTAAAAAGAGATACCAGCTCCCGGGAAATGTACTAGGTCTGCAATGGTAAAATACCAAAATACACAGCCCGTTAGAAATAAAAAAAAAATTTAAAAAATTAAAATGAGAATTAATAAGAAATGTACATATAATTTATTTAATCAGTATTAAAAGTTTTTTAATGCATACATAAACCAGTATTTGCTCTAACTATCAGTATCATGTTCAATATTTCCCTTCCAACGAATTTTTCCACCGATTCTTACCCGCACCCGATTTTCAGTATTAATAGCATTCGAATAAATACGGTTCATCACAATTCATTCACAATATGAGGTTCTCAAATAAATCAAACAATCAAAAAACTTTTAACAGAGGTTAGTTTGAAAAAGCGTTGAGAACATGCTACAAAATATATTAAAAATACAACACTGTATTATTAAAAAAAATAAATTGATAGTAAAACATTTTATATATTATTATATTTTGCATCTTTAAGTTAAATATAAAAAATTCAGGTACATGAAGATTTTTAACAATCAAATACTTGGAAATACACAGATTAAATTTACATTTGTGCTTTCTAAGGAACAAAAAGCTATCGAAATTTGTCAATTAGAATGGAAATCGCTTATCAATATATAAGAAGCGATGTATTTTAAAAAGCGCTTTTCAGCATACAAATACTAATCACGACAGCAAAAATGCATATAAAATATATTAGAGGAATTTCTTAGTTGGTATATTTAGACAAGTCACCGTTAAAAAAAAGGAAGCATCATTATTTCGGATGAATTATAATAAGAGTATGTGTAACTGCCAAAGATATAACACAGAATAGAAGTAAAAAAACACAACAAATATAACTGTTAAACTTATTTAAATTCTGATTTAAAAAGATGTAAATAATAATTTAAAAGGACCTTTCGTGAAACATCGTACCGATATCACAAATTATTGACTAAAAGATAACAAAATGAATAAAATAAACTATGCTTTTTTAATAGATGTTTTTAATCTTTTATATTAGGAGTGTAGAGAAAGCTAAATGTTTATCTACGAAAGATTTTATTACCTTAAAAATTGGAAAATTGTTAGTATTCCTTTTACAAACAAATTCAATTTTTTTTTAAAAACCCTTATTAAAGTAACTTTGTTTTTATTATTATATTTCCGTTCGACACTATTGAAAACACAAGATAACTACGAAAATTTAACATGAGTTATATGAATAATATGAGGTGAAATCAGTTGTAAAGAAAATTTCCGAATAACAGATGAGATTAAGTATTAGCCTTCTCAAAGGATTAATTGCACAAAGTAGTTAAAATACAGGGTGTATAACTCGAAGCCATTAACAAAAATCTTATGAAGCTTCAGCGTGAAAATTAATGGCGACAATTCATAACTTTTAGCAAGCAGGCTCTCTATAATTTATCAAACTCTTCGCACAGCTTATCAGTCAATCAGTCAAAGAAATTAACAGAGACTGAAATTAACTAAGAATGATTTCCTGGAAGTATTTGTTCGGTTACTGTAGCAACATTCTAATACTCCTAGAAAAACTTCAGAATGAAATAAATTGCCTCGAAATGAACGTGACAACTCAATTATTTTTGCAAAATGAATGCTGCTTGCATTATTCTTCGATATTAATTGCTTCCGAACACACACACAACAAGATGGTTGGCAAGATAAACAATGAACATTGGGTCAATTTAGTATTTGCGATAAACAATAATATAAGTTAACAGTTCTAAAGAATGATCATATTATTTTAAAACTAAATTCTCTGCCAGAATTAAAAAAAGGAAACTGACTACTAAATTAAAATTAAGATGTGCAGTATATTTAATAAATTATAATTTAAGAAAAACTAAAAAAAACACGCTTTTATAGTGAATCAAGCTGAAAAGTAAAAAAAATAATTCTTATTATAAGAATAAAATGATTAACGAGAATATTAATGTTATTGAGAGGTAAAAGCGGGAGGTGCTACATATCAATTGCTATATTTTCTTACTTGTTCTATTCAGAAATGCCGAGTTAGTGTAAAAATGTAGTACAAAGCACACCACACGTATTTACCACAATGACATTAATTTTCTCCTTTTAATCATTTTTTATATATATTTTTTCTTATAGTAAATTTTTTTTGAAGTTATACTTCTTTTGGGGAGCTTGAGAAATAGGATAAGGGTGAATTCTTAAGATGCGCGCGCAAATCGTCACGGATGCGATAGTGCTTTGTCTAGAAACATACAGAACGTTACAAATCATTGCCGCCTTCGAAAATTTCAGGAAAATATATTTCTCTTCACTTTCCTGAAAAAGGGGACAATCGGGTTTGAACTGGAGACCTCTCAATTTGCAATCGAATATTTTATCGCTAAGCTATACACTTGCGTCAGCGAACGTTTGCTTTGCGTTCCGTAGAAACAGATCCGAAAGTGCTTTGTCTAGAAATATACAGAACGGGACAGATCTTTTGCCGCCTTCGAAAAATAATATTTCTCTTCACTTCCATGAAGAAAAGGACACCCGGTTTTGAACTGGGGACCTCTCGATCTGCATTCGAATGTTCTACCACTGCGCTATACATCCCGCGTCAGCAAGCCTTTGCTTTGCGTTCCGTAGTAACGGATACGAAAATGCTTTGTCTAGAAATATACAAAAACCCGGGACAGATCTTTCCCGCCTTCGAAATTCTCAAAAAAAGTATATCTCTCCACTTCCCTGAAGAAGAGGAGATCCGAGTTTGAACCGGAGACCTCTCGATTTGCAGTCAAATGCTCTACCACTGAGCTATACCCCCGTGTCAGCGAATCTTAGATTTCCGTAGTAACGGATACGAAAATGCTTTGTCTAGAAATATACAGAACGGGACAGATCATTCCCGCCTTCGAAATTCTCAAAAAAAGTATATCTCTCCACTTCCCTGAAGAAGAGGAGATCCGAGTTTGAACCGGAGACCTCTCGATTTGCAGTAAAAATGCTCTACCCCTGAGCTATACCCCCGTGTCAGCAACCCTTAGATTTCCGTGGGGAACGGATACAAAAAAATGTTTTTGTCTAGAAATATACAAAAGGGGGAAAAAAGATCTTTTCCCCCCCAAAGAAATTCTAAAAAAAGTATATCTCTCCACTTCCCTGAAGAAGAGGAGATCCGAGTTTGAACCGGAGACCTCTCGATTTGCAGTCAAATGCTCTACCACTGAGCTATACCCCCGTGTCACCCAATCTTAGTTTTCCCGTAAAAACGGATAAAAAAAATGTTTTTGTCTAGAAATATACAGAACAGGACAGATCTTTTCCCGCCTTCGAAATTCCCCAAAAAAAAGTATATCTCTCCACTTCCTGAAGAGGAGACCCGAGTTTGAACCGGGGCCTCTCGTTTTGCAGTCAAATGCTCTACCCCCGAGCTATCCCCCCGTGTCAGCGAATCTTAGATTTCCGTGGAACGGATACAAAAATGCTTTGTCTGAAATAAAACAGAACGGGACAGATCTTTTCCCGCCTTCAGAAATTCTCAAAAAGGATATCTCTCCCTTCCCTGAAAAAAAAAAGGAAGTCGGGGTTTGAACCGGAGACCTCTCGATTTGCAGTCAAATGCTCTACCACTAAAGCTTACCCCGTGTCAGCCCAATCTTGGGAATTTCCGTAGTAACGGATACGAAAATGCTTTGTCTAGATATATAAAAGGAAAAAGGACAGATCATTCCGCCTTCGAAATTCAAAAAAAAAGTATATCTCTCCACTTCCCTGAAGAAAAAGGATCGAGTTTAAACCCGGGGAACCTCTCGATTTGGGGTAAATTCCCACGGCTATACCCCCCGTGTCAGCGAATTTAGATTTCCGTAGTAACGGATCGAAAATGTTTTGTCTAGAAATATAAGAACGGAAAAATCTTTCCCCGCCTTGGGGAAATTCTAAAAAAAGGTATATCCCTCCATTTCCCTTGAAGAAGAGAGGGAGACCCAAAGTTTGAACCGGGGGTTTTTCCTCGATTTGATCAAATGCTCTCCCACTGAGCTATCCCCCCCGTGTCAGCGAATCTTAGTTTTCCCTAGTAACGGATACGAAAATGCTTTGTCAAAGAAATATACAGAACGGGACGATCTTTTCCCGCCTTCAAAATTCTCAAAAAAATATATCTCTCCACTTCCCTGAAAAAAGGAGATCCGAGTTTAAACCCGGGGAAAACCTCTCGATTTGCAGTCAAATGCTCTACCCCCTGAGCTATACCCCGTGTCGGGGAATCTTAGATTTCCGTAGAAAGGGGAAATACGAAAATGCTTTGTTAAAAAATATCCCAGAAAAAAGGAAAAAGATCTTCCGCCTTCGAAATTCTCAAAAAATCTCTCTTCACTTTCATAAAGTAGGGGACACCTTTTTTTGAACCGGGGTCCTCTAAATTGATCGAATGCTTTACTATCCAGCTATACCATCCGTGCCCGGCAAAACCGTTTTGCGCTGATTTGTAACATAAACTACTGGAAAGGGACAGATGTCCTTCGCCAACGGAGTTTCTCCTGATGCTTTTTGTTTGAACACTTTTGCTTTTAAACCAAACATATTTTAAAAAATTAAAAAAAATATATTTTAAAATTAAATTTTTAAATGTGTTTCATGTACATAAAACATAAGAGTAAATATTAGTTTTCCTATTTAAAAACAATTACAATTATATGATTATAGATGCTTTTTACTACGAACACATTGCGCGATGAACATAAACACATTTATTACATTGTTGCAAATTAAAGAAATTTTGTATTTGTATAATTTTTTTTGGGAAGTTATCCTTTTTGGGGGTTGGGAAAAAAGGATGGGGGTAAAATTTTTAGGATTTGAGCAAAAAAGTCATGGATGCGCACGCATCCCTTTTACGCCCACCGATGCGCATGCGCACACCGTTGTCTATTATTTTAACATGCCATTTTTTTGGGGCTATGGGACTGATATCTGGAGGATCATAATAACTATTGTTATAAACCATGTCTTTTTGGGACGCATCCCCCTTCTTCCTCCCCTCTTCAGTTTTTTGGCCAATACCCGGCACCCGAGCCCCCAATCCATCAGGGCCTGGCTCATTCGATCCCTTTTATCTGTTTTTTTCCGGTTTTATAATTTCATGTTTCATAGGGCTATTTCTTCCATATTTTTTCAATTGTCTTAAATTTTTTAATTTTTTTTAAAATTCACAATATCTTGGCTCTTGTTCGAGTCTCGGACTTGAGATTTGAAAAAGTATTCCACTCGTCGAGACCCATCCGTCATCTGCATCTTTCCCCATTGTTTTAGGCATGGAGAGGGGCTTAAGCACTATAATATCATTCTCCCATGTTAATCCTATAGGGGACTGGAAAAAATTTCACCCCCCCCCAAAGAAATTGGGGCTGGGAAACCCTTGATTTTTGGAGGTCCGCCATATTTTCGTATTGGCGCAGGTTTTTCGTGGTTGGCCCCCCTTCCCCTAAAAAGGGTTTCCCCAAAAAAATAACTCGAATAAATATGCCTTTTTGGGTTCGACCTCACCGGCTGGATTCGATTGTTTTCCCCTACGAGCATCCTATATATTTTTTTTTTCAGGGCCATAGCCCATTTTTACCCATATTTAACTTTTTTTAAATTAATTAAAAGATAATTTTTTTTAAATCCCGCATTGCTCCGGGGTTTTTGGGAATTCACACCATAGGTTATCCTCGTTGAGCTGCTTCATCTGTTTCAATTCGTGTGTAGATAGTAGGCGGGGGGCGTTATCACTAAAATTAGAAAAAACCCCCATGTTTTTCCTGCGGGTTCGATTTTTAAAAATGATTAATGATTTTTCAAAAATAGAAGGGATGAAACTTTGGTATCACCTACTACTTCAGTGCTTCTCAAACTTTCAATATACGCGACCCACTATTCAATCATCATTTTCATCGCGCCCCCTCCATACAATACCAAGGCATAGAGCTCAATAATACTATACTTTGACACTAAAGATACAATACGCCCTTTAAACCCTTTTTTATGTACCCGGCGTATATAAGGGTCTTGCTCAGGAAAAAGCATATTTTTTTAACGTATAAAACCGTCTTTCAAAATACGATCTTTTTATTTGCAGTTCTATCCATAAAATTATTCCAAAGGGGGTTTGGGGAATTTTAATAAGGGAGACCTTGACAGTGTTTGCGAAGGAATTACTTATTTCAGAGAATATATTTTCTTATATATATAATTACACCTTTTCTCCTCCCTCTAAAAAAACATCCAAATCTGCTTGTCTATGTGGAAAACAGTGACATTGGGGAGCGAATCTTGTTAACTTTTAATCGGCAGTCAAGGAGTCAGTTAAAAACCGTACACATTATCAAGATAAGTGATAATACAAGCCTATGGGGTCACTGATAATTATCAAACTTATAATTAACTTAGTATTGTTAAATTAATAATAAAATACATTGTACAGAACTGATACATTTATAAATGCATTATATTATTGTAAATGTGTATTTTATATCTTATTATATAAAAAATTTTTTTGTATTTTTTATTTTTCAGTAAATTAATATTTTTTTTTTCGATTTTTTCAATATCTGGGTCCCCTCGTACAGTTATCACGCCCCCCCAAGGGGGCGTCCCCTATTTGAAAACACTTTTACTACTATTTGTATCTTTGGGATTCGAGACCATTTACGTCCGGTTTTTTTCCCCTGGGGAGGGTTTGATTCATTTTATTTTCCCGAGTTAGGGCCGTCCCATTTGCAACTACAGACTCTGGACCGGTTCTGACAGATTCCTCTTGTGTTTGCTCACAACCAGGCCTAGTTTCGAGTTCCGGGTTTTCCCTGCTTCTATTTTTTTTTAATTGTTTTTAAAAAGTTTTTTAAATTTTTTTTAAAATGACCATAATCGGGGATCTTCAGGCGGTTGTCTTAATTTTCTCAGGAACGATTTTTTCATGCTGAGACATTCAATAAGAGGTTTTAGATGTCACAATCGGCTCACTTCATTTCTCGATACATTCTGATATCCCCCATGTTATTGGTCCTATTGTCCTGTGCGGGGGTGTTTAAATTTATTTAAATCGTGATTATTTTGGCTGGTCCAATTGACTGAAGGTTAGTATCGTTCAAATCTGCTCGTGACCGCCTTTCGCCCTTCACTCAGCTTGCCTTGCTAAAGATTTTTAGAAATATTTTAATCTTGCCTGGCCAAAGAAGTATAACTGCTTACGTGCGTACATAAGTATACACACACTTCTTTTTACTTTTCAGTTCGATTCACTATAAAAGCGTGTTTTTTAGTTTTTTTTAAAAAATTTTATAATTTATTTTTTTTATTTTGATCTACAATAAAAGCGTGTTTTTTTAGTTTTTTAAGGTACCATTTATTCATTGTTGAATGTATCCTTAATTTTGATATTTGGAGCCGAAATTACGTGGCTGCTCCAATGGATATTAATTAATGGGTCTGGAAAAAGGGATTTATTTTTTCCGTCTATGGGGCTTTGAATGAGTCCCGTATTGCTTTATTTCAAAGATTCCGTCTCTATAGATACTGGTAAATTTAATAAAAGTGTATTAAAAAGAAATATTAAATTTCAATAAGATTATCACATTTTCAACGTATTGCTTTGTAAAAATAAAAAAAATATATATTCAGTAGTTAGAACATAAATTATTATTTTTTTACATGCACAAGTCTTTTATTTTCTGTTTACATTTTCAGAAACAATCGTTTATATTATGGTAAGAAATTGTTGAAGCACCCACTTTACCCTTTCTCACATAAGGAACACTTTTTTTTGTTTTATTTGTATTTTCCGCCAGCCTATTCGCTGTTTTTCGATTGCACTTTAATCTTTTAGTCGCTAAATCTGGAATTAGTCACCGAATCCGGAAATGACATGTGAAATTACTCGCCAAATTTGAAAATGGTATAGCAATAAGTCACCAAATATGGAAGTGGTATAATGAATTATTTGCCAAATCTGGAAATCGTTATTGCTGATGATCCTGACCAGGCCAATGGAACAAAATTATGAAATTTTATTATTGCTATCCGTCTTTGACAAGTGTGCAAAATTTCGAAGAAATCTGACGTTTTAAAGTGCGTAAAAATCGAGTTCAAGGTTCCGTTCCATACAAGTGAAACTTATAAAAGCGTGTTAAAAATGAGTTAAAATATGCAATACATTCATGTATAGGGTGTACCAAAATATCTTCCAAACTCTGAACAGACAGATTTCTAGTAGGAAATACATAAAAAATGCCAAAAAACTGTACCTTTACGTTCTATTGTTTACGAAAGAAAAACGGTAAACGATGGTGCATGATGATGCTTTAGAGCATTTTTGTGCTCCTGTACGTTATTGGTTGTACATCAGTTTTTCTCAAATTTTCCTTTTTCGACCCAATATTCAATCATAATTTTCATCGCGC